GAGTAGGGTCTTATATCCAGAATATATAAACAATTCTTAAATTTCAGTAATTGAAAACCCAAATAACCTAATTAAAAAATGGTCAAGGGCACTTGGGTGGCTCAGTCAGTTGAGCATCCGACTCTTGGTTTTGGCTCAGGTCATGATCTCAGGGTTGTGAGATCGAGCCCTGCATCAGGCTCTGTGCTCAGTGCGGAGTCTGCTACAGATTCTCTCTCCCTCTCCCTCTTCCTCCTGCTCTCTCTCTCTCAAGTAAATAAATAAATATTTTTAAAAAATATAAAAAATGGGTAAAGAATTTTAATAGACATTTATCCAAAGAAGACATATGAATGGCTAATAAATGCATGAAAAAGCACTTAACATCATTTTTATCATATGACTAATGTATATTAGTATGTATATTATTTATATATATATATTATATATTTGCCAGTTGTTCAATGGCATGGCATTGCTTATATGAACATGGCATGCCATGTTCCATGGCATATATTTATACATATACACATTTATATAATGTATATTATTTAATATGTATATTAAAATCATTATGACATACTACTTCATAGGATGGCTATAATAAAAAAGGCAAGACAATAAATAATGGTGAGAATGTGAAGAAATTAGAATACTTCTTCTTTGCTGGTGGAAATGTAGTATGTGGCAGCCACCTTGGGCAAAAGTTTAGAAGCTTCTCAAAATTAAAACATAAGTACCATTTAACCAAGCAATTTCATTCTTAAGTTACTAAGGACAAATGAAAACATATATCCAAACACAGACTTGTACATGAATGTTCATAGCATTGTTATTCATAATGGCCCTAAAGAGAAAAGAATCCAAAGGTACATAAACTGATGGATAAACAGTTTGTGGTATATCCATATAACAGAATGTTATTTGGCAACACAAAGGAATGAATTAGTAATACATTCTACACTTAGCACATTATGCTAATTGAAATTAGTCAGTCACAAAAAAACCTCATATATTGTCTGATCTCATTTATATTAAATACCCAGGATAGGCAAATGTATAGAGACACAAAGTAGGTGAGTGATTACCTAGGGCTGGGGGGAAATGAATGGAGGGGAGTATGGAAAGTGACTGTTAATGGGTACAAAGTTTCTTTTCGGAATAATGAAAATGTTTAAAAATTACATTCTGGTGATGGTTGCACAATTGTATAAATATATAAAACTCACTGAATTGTACACTTTAAACAGGTGAACCTGAAGGAATGTAAACTATATCAATACTGTTACCAACAACAATAACAATAACAACAGCAACAATAAGTTCAGCATGACTAGATAAAAAATAGGTGAAGGAAAGAGTAGAAAGAGGAGGCAGAGGCCAGATCTGTAGGGATTTTATGCCATAATAAGAATGTATATGATCTCCGAAATTTCAAAGCCACTAGGGCTTTTTAAGCAGAAGAATGACATGATCTGATTTATATGACATGATACATAATATATAATACATTGTATATAATATATAAACTATATTATTATATACAATAATCATTATATATAATATATATAATAATTATATGTTATAATAGATTATTATATAAAATAATTATATAACAATATATAATTATATAATATCTAATAATATAATCAAATGTATACATGTTGATATTCAAGAATAATTAATTTTTTAATTCTTCTATTTCCATACCTTCTTTTGTTGTGATTTAGAGATGCAAGTCCAGCTCAAAGTACTAATTAAATCTTTTGAAAAGACATAGTAAATAAAGACTGATGAATAAAATCCTCTGATATACCATTTTCTAGATCTTTCAGAAAAAATTAGCCAACTCTGTATATATCTAGGAAATTGAAACTCAAATGCTTTTTGTCCGTAAATAAATTATAAAGGTCATTCATTTCATTTCCTTCATTTTCTACTTAAGGAAACCAAGAAGATCATACATATATTTACTGGAGCACTGAGACAGTCCTTCGGTTCCTACTGCAGTGTTGACTGAATTCTACTATCTGACTGCACAGAACTTAGAAAGTCAATTTGTAGAATTTATGGTGTTAAGTTACACATTATTTGTTTCCAACTGTGGCTTATAATGTCAGAGTTGCAGTATTATTTTGGTTACCGAAGAGTAAAATTCTAGGGGAAAATATTTATAAATAGTAGTAATACTTTAAGTGGAGTTGAATGAGGTCTGGGACGTCCCTGAAATCAATTGAGTAAATAACATATATTAAAACCATTTTAATGCCTATTTTCTAACCACCTTTATCAAATTATTGCCTATTAAATTAAAAATCCATAATTTAAGAAAAACAAAATTTTCCAAGTTTTTATCACCAAAGACTCAGAATAATGTTTTCTTCAGTTGGCCTCAACAGATGAAAGCCTCACCCTTGTGAGCCCTTCAGTTAGCTGACCAGAGCATCTAATCTAAAGAAATGTCTGAAATCTTGTCAACTGTTTCATGTGCCCCACATATTATTAAATATGAAAATGGTTTCTTCCAAGGTAGATTGGGAAGGTTTTGGAGTTTTGTTTTGATTTGTTTTTTTTTCCCTTGAATATGATGGATGCAGTTCACTTTGTATAACTCACAGAGGCTAATTCTAATGTAATTCAAATGTAATAAATTCTCTGTCAGGAACAAACTTTAGTTCGGATGTGTACTCAGGAACTGGCAGGAGACAACTATGGAGCTCCTGCCATCCTGATCCGTTAGGTTAAGTAGTGGGTGTGTCCTCTTGTCTGGGGCAGACATGGACTTGAAGGTTTATTTTTCCATTGCTTACTCTCTTGGTGTGGGCTTACTCTGGACCTCTGTGTTTGGTTCTAGGGCAGCAGGCTGCAGCATATAATGTGATAGACTCAAGAAACGGGATTCAAATTCCGGCTCAGCTTCTAAATGGTTGTGTGACCACAGGCAAGACAGTTAACTTTTCTGAATCTTACTTTTCTAGTCAATAAGACAGAAACTGCTCTATCTGTACCACATCATTATTAATTGGATCAAATTAGTTAATATATGAAAGGGCTTTGAGATGTATGAAGCACCATGTTGACGTTTTTCCTTCCTATTTCTGCTTTGGTACTGTATGTTCCACATTTATAAATATAGTTTGTCATGGACTACACATTTGCAAAAGAGAAAAACCAAGTTAATGTTAGTTTCTTTTGAAAATATTGAACAAGTTATGAGTCAAATTAGTGATAATAACAATATATTCTGAACAAGTTATGAACAAGTTATGAGTCAAATTAGTGATAATAACAATATATTATTCACCTGGTAAATTTTATCTCAGCATTCCAAACCATTTCAGTCTGAAACCAAGGCAGGAAAAAAAATGGGAAGCTGAGAGGAATTTACTTAAGTCCCTTCCTTAACACAGCCATTGAATGTTTCAGTTTTTACCTCTCAGATTGAAAAGCACCTGATGTTGGAACTGTGGATCAAAACACCTGTCAGCAATGACAAATACCTCCTCTGAAAGAATCATGATGTTTTAAGTTTAATAAGTATGTAAACTTTAGAATTTAGTAATCCTCTCATTAGTCAAACTATACAATTTATGGATTTTGAAAAATAATGTAAAAAAGGCCTTTAAATTTAGAGTGCTCAGAATAACTGCACGCTAAAACTAAACCTACTGTTCAAAGTAGGTGAAACAGAGGGCATTGATCTCAGTGGATTTTTAAATGTGCTGATTCTGGGCAAAAAAACAAACAAAACAAAACATGTCGCTGCTAATAGGCATAACAAAATCCAAGAACTTCACTGGGGCTATGATATTTGTGGGGGGAGGAAATATGAACAATTTTTAACCCTCTAGGTGCCTGTAGTAAAACAAAATTTAAAATTGTATTAACTTTCAAAAATCTCTGGAGAATTAAAAACCTCATGTCATTAACCGATTAAAGGCACCTGTCTGATTTATTTGCCTTAAGTCCAACACAACCTAGATCAAGGTAGGACAGGAAGAAAATGATTTAAAAAAAAAAGCCTGTGATTCTGAGAATGATTAATACCTTATCTCAGCCTCAAGAAGGGTGTTAAGAAGTAGACGCAATGTCTAGAGCAGCTGGGATCCAAATAAAAAAATGGCTCTTAACTGTGTAAAAGAAAAAACTGGAGAATGAAGGCAATGTCTGAGATGTTCAGAAAATAAGGTAGGGTGATGTCTGAACCTCTGAGTAGTCAATAATAAAATGAAATCTTTATAAACCATATTAAAGAGTTAGTGAAGTCAGTAGGAGCTTTGCTTAGTTATTTGAAGAATGAAATAAGAGAAATAATTTTATGGGAGTATTAAGATCTTAATGTCTTACTTTCTAAGCATAATATAATCCAATAGAAAGCTCTATTCAGTTTTCTGGTTCTAAGGAAGAAAAACAGATTCCATAATGGAAAAGTAAATCCTAATTTTAGATAGGTCATGAGACCAGGCATTTTTTTTTTTTTTTTTGCTACAGGGTACTTAATCAGTAGTTTTTAGAGCATTTCAGAAATATTTCCCTTCTTACTGCTCTTTATCATTTTCTTCAAGCAAAGCTTTATCTTTGTCCTATTCAACAATCAGAAGATAGGACTTTTCAGAAAGGTTCCCACATATAGTTTACTTTTCACACTGTCAGTTTCACCAGAGGCCTCGGTAAACACACCAAATTCCCTGAAGCTCTGTAACATTCAAAAGCCATGCTATAGCACTCGGTTAGAGTTGAGCGTGAACAGGAAAAGGGGTAGGATAAACCAGAAAAACTTCCAATTCATCAGTTTCTCCTTATGTGAAATGGGCATTTTGCCAGCTATCAGTTTTTATAGGTTGTAGGGTTTAACCACTGAAAGCAATAGTAAAACCCTTACAAAGACTGTTCCACTCCATTCAGCATGGTGAGAGCATTAATTTGTCCCAGACTACATTAGAGGGGAAGGTAAACCATGGATTCACCGGACTTCCCTGAACATTTCCTGAGAATTCATCAGTGATAAAAATCCTTCTCACCTGCTCTGGATAGCCATCCATACTCCTTTGCCCTTTAGTTTGAATTAAGCACCGTCCAGGCTGAGGTCCCCGGGTGGCCTGTGAAGAGGGGATCTGAATAGGCAATGGTGACTGAAATTGCTGGATGGTCACTTTGTTTATATTCCCCTCATATCCCTGCTGTTCCCGGCTCCGATGCTGAAGGCTTTGGGACCCCATCAGAGTCTGGATGTGGCTGCCTGCCTGTGGAGAAGACAAGTTGTCAGACGACGATTCGTGGTGTTGAAAGGATGTGATTAAAGTAGAACACACATGGGGCACCTGGGTGGCTCAGTTGGTTAAGCGACTGCCTTTGGCTCAGGTCATGATCCTGGAGTCCCAGGATCGAGTCCCACATCGGGCTCCCTGCTCAGCGGGGAGTCTGCTTCTCCCTCTGACCCTCCCCCCTCTCTTGTGCTCTCTCTCTCTCTCTCTCAAATAAATAAATAAAATCTTTAAAAAAAATAAAGTAGAACACACACATACAGAATACCTCTCTGGTAAAGTGGCATCACTTGGGCTCTCAGCCACTGCTGGAAAGGAAAATGAAAAAACAGCAAGGGTCTGCCTACTGTGGTTTGTGAAAATGTTAATATTGGAGCAAGGTCGCATTATATACATTTGTAGTCATCTGGTGTCTTGCCAGAGATTATTTTATCCCCCATTTTAAGGGAGCAAAATTCTCTCTGAAATCTCAAGCACAAAAAGAAGTCACAGATTAAAAATAAAGTGGAGTTCTATCTGGCATTTTATTTTACTAACAGCAGGGAGAGAGATATAGTATAGGAAACATCAGGGGGAGAATGATAGAGCCTGCTTCCTGATTCTGAAGCAAAAGAATCGAAGGGTGTATTTTCCTTTATGTCACAGGTGCACAGTGAGCTTGTTCAGGTGAGGTTAATCAATATTTATTCATGTTCTGCATTATTAAATCAAGAGTATGGTTTTTGGAATCTTTAAGTCACATTGAAAATGAACCATGTGATAAATTCCTGTGAGTATCTGTAGCTCATGGAGGCACTAGATGTCGGAAAGGTCTTCAAAGTGAGCTCTGTATGTAGATCATCCCATGGTGAGCTTTCAGAGACATTCATTAGTATCTCATTTAAAGAAATAATGACAATTTCTCAGTCCTTAAGGGTGACTGTTGGAGGAAGAGGGCATGCTCACTTTGGTCTCTCATCTTCAAATGCTATGGTGCACACCATAGGCATATGGTTCCTTGTTCATTCTGATTTTCTCACCTTTGTTTTAGCATCAGTTTCTTGAGTCATCCTACTTGGTATCTTTTCCACCAAGCAAGCAGTCCTGTTTCTGGGCTGGTCACCCAGAACATGCCTTTTATAATTATGTATGGCTTAACATGGAGGTCTCACATGGGAAGTGAATGCTTATCATTAATACTTTTAAACATATGTTTTACTGCTGTGCTTGGTACTTCACCTATTACTATGGAGGCCTCTGAGGGGTTACTTCCTGCATTCATTTTCTTTCTTATTGGTCTTTTAAGGGTAGATGATTTGGAATTCAAAGCTGAATTTCACTTTAGAATTCATTAGCTAGGAAAGCCTGTGAATTTTGCTGTTTGTAACAGATTTGTCATTCATTAGCTAGGGAGGTCTAACTAATAAAAATTTTTTATTAAAAATTCAGGAAGAATAAAGGAAAAATTATTAAACACGTATTCAAGGAACAGATTAATTTGAATTTTTAAAAGTTCTTTTAAAAGAGCAACATTAAGAAACATAAGGAAATGACAGTGATCGTGGAAAATCATTTGGAGAAGATGGGAGTCATATTGCTTGGTTCCAAACAAGAGGTGATTTCAGTGAAGAAAATATTCAAAATTATTATTTGGCAATGCGTATGGCAAAGTAAACAACCATTTGATTATATTTTTAGATGCCCAACTGGTTGTTTTGTTATCATGTACAATGTTTACATTCAGAAACAGTAAGGATATTTCAGGCATGAGAAATTGGAGGAAAATATGCAAAAAAAGAGAGTTGTACTATACCAGCACAATGTGAAAATAATTATCAATTCAACACTATCCAATGCAACTAACCGGCAATGGCAAAGCTATAACATCATAAACACAACTAAGAACCTTCATAAAGGGCAAGTGTATGTTTCTATATTGTATCTATGCCCTTCTCAGAGATAAATGAAAGGAGATGTTACAAATTTGAGAGCTGTTCTAGATGACTGAACACCCTCCTGGTCAAGTTGTTCCCCTTAGTGTGATTCTCTCCTACCTCCCTGGAATTTCATGTTCTCTTGTTTGGTAGGAGAGGAAAACCATGATAAGCCGTATGACATTTTGAGCTGCTATACTCTGAATGAACTCACTGGCATGCTAAGTTACATAGTTGGAGACAATGACTTCCTGGAGTTTGAAATGCTGATGATGTCGGCTGACGAAAGCTGACTAGCCTGGTTATGGAACAGTAAGTTGATTTTACATTTAAATCTGCTTGTCACCTCCACTGGCATAATACTTATGGGTCTTCAGTCAGTGCTTGAGCCAGTGGACAAGAGGAAGACCAGCAGTTTAATTGAAAGTGATCATGTAGACAAGCAAAGAATTGTTAACACCCAGAAAAACTTAGAGGGATCCAGAACATGGATGCATAATCTACATGAGAAAATTAATAAGGACCACTTAACAATCTCTTCATTGATTAGAATATTCTGGTAATGGTCTATCCAAGGGTGAAAAACTGTTTGCATATTATATAACGATTATAGCCTGTAGACTTATTTTTCTGGTTTAGTTTTCCCTTCTGATGGGACAATTGGAGCCCAGAATTATGCTTTGATTTGGAACTCCTTGAAGGCAAGCACCATATCCTACTTACCATCTTCAATGACTGAAGCAGTAACTGGCATTTAATAAATAATGGCTACTATTGAAACACTAGGTGCCAAACAATGTGCTAAAACTTATCTTACACATATTACCTCTTTAGTCCTTACAACAGCATTAGAGGTTAACTATTATGAATTATTATTATCCAATTTTACTAATGAGGAAACTAAGGCTTGGAGAAGTAAAGCAGCTTCCCCAAGTAGTTTTCCCTACTGGCAAACTGACAGGATCAGGATTTGAGACAAGGCTGTCTGACTATGAAAGCTCATGCTCTTTTTTCCCCCTGCCCATTTTTTTTTATTATGTTCAGTTAGCCAACATATAGTAGTACACCATTAGTTTTGAAAGATCAGGCTCTTAAACACAAAATTATACTGCAATCCCCTAACCCCCAAATCGACTCTCTCCCCCAATAGTTGAACTGTGAATTGAAAAGGAACCATGAAAAGGAAGAAAAGGACCCGACTGCAGGATATCTTAAATTTCTTTAGCAGCTCTTTAATTTTCCAAAAGGTCATTCCTACTTATTGAACTAGGTCTGTTATCTATTTTAGATCCTATGGTTGTGACTTAGAGCATTATAGTTAAGCAAATAAGTGTATTTAGTAATCTTCCCACAATTATGAAGTGACGAGGCTCATGTTCTCAGATAGTTTGGTAAAACATCAAGTAGGCATGGAAGGATGTGCTATAAAATGATTCTCCTTGCATCAGTACTCTTATTTCACTCTCTATTGGGACTACAGGCTGCACTGAATGGGGATGGGGAGCGACAGCTGTAGAAAGCCAAGAATTAACACTAAATTTTGTGTGGAGTTAAGCAAACATAAATGACACAAGACATCTAAAGGGACAATTATGGTGTTGGAGGGACTGTAAAGAGGAAGTTTTTTTTGACTGACACAAAGGCTTAAGAAAGGTAATGAGGATGCTCATGATAAAGTACAAAGGGCTAATGAAAATGTAGAAAATGTCAGAGGCTGGATTTGTTCAAGCAGAGGGTTAGCTTTGAGAACACTGACTCATACTGAAGGGGAATTTGAACATAAAGGTTTCTGTAAAGACTGTGCTACACATTTTGAATGATAAAAAGAAAGAGAGAAGATCTGACATTTGTTTTGAACTTTCAAGGGGAGGTTGGACAAAATAACACATATTTGAGGAGAATAGTGATGAAATATAGTGTTTTCAAGTTGACCCAAAACCATACTGTCAAAATTTACAGAGAAAAACTCCAATATCCATAGGACCCAAGAAAACATCAATGTCAATACCACAGAAAAGAAATATTGATTGATACCAAAGGGCAGTGTTCGTGCAAAAGTCAGCCCACAGCTAATCAGGCTTATTATGTAGAAATTTAAAGTGTTTCGGAAGTTCTGTATGATATAAAAGAAATGACTTTCTCACTAAAACAATGCTTTGGTTCACAATATTCTCTTAGAAAAACTGTTTGAGAAGTATATTATGTAATTTGGTCATCTGTTTTACTAGCCATCTTGGCTCTTGAACCACTTGAGGTTGCTTCCAAAAATCAAACACAGCTTTAAAGGATGACAGTTTATGCCACTGAGAATATTCAAAGGGACACAATTAATTCTCTCACATTAAGTCCAGTAGAGTTCAAAAAATGTTTGGGAGCAGTGTCAACAACACAAAATCATCTACAAAGGATAACTCAGGAACTGATTTCAAGGAACCACTGATACTCATTTAAATGAGTCCATTTCAGTAATTTTGTAAAGCAACAACAATAACAACAAAACAGTCCTATTACTTTCTCTTTCTACCATGTGTTCTATAGTGACTTTTTTTTAGTAAGCGGGTTAAGTTTTAAAAATCTAGGCAGTTAGACTTCTGATTCCAGGTAGATGGAATAGACATACTATGCCCTGCTCCCTCCAAGAACAACTAAAACCTTGGACATTTTATGCAAACAAATATAAGGAAACTCTGGAAAGAAGAAAGAAGAAAGTAGATCAACTCAGATATGGAGACCAAGTATCAACATGGCAGTGAATCTCTTGGGTTTTATTTTTGTGTCATATATGCCAGACTTGGACCTGAGGAAGTGGGCTACCCCAAGATACCAACAGATGCAGAAGAAGAAAGCCCCAACAGAAGCTTTCTCTCTCTAGCCATAGGACCAGAAAAGGGGCAGCCTAGAAAGACAGAAGACTTTTAGACAATAACAATTCTTCTATAACCAAACACCATGGGAAAAACTGTGGCCCCACCCTGGCAATGCCAGTGACAACCAAGTGTGAAGCCTAGACTTCTACCCCTATAAAGATGTAACAAAGCACACCAACACTCCTGCCTGGGTGGTGTC